CTTCTGTCATTTTTGTGTTTTTATAGTCGTGTGTATTTAAAGAATATGCTTTTCGAACTAGTGTTTCGATACGTACTGCTAATTGTTTGATGGTTTCATTTGGTAATCTGCGAATTTCATTACATAAAACTCTTTGTTGTTGTTTGTTTCTTTCGGAGTCAAACATTTTTGAAAATTCTTGTGTAAATCTTTTCCAATTTGATTTTATTTCTATAGGCAATACTGAAAACCATTTTTGTGCTGCGCCGTCTAAGGTTGTCTGTATCAACGCTGTGCGTCGATGTATCCAATTTTGATGTAGTGGCGTATTAATTGGTTCAGGTCCTATATTTAAAATTAAATTTGCTGTTACTGCATTTAAATAATCTTCTACAGAATATTCAGGGTCTGTTCCTGTGAATACCATTAATGGTTTGTTTGATGTTATTGATGATCCACCCATAAGGTGTGGATTCATTGTCATTTGTAATGATTCTGCTGCATTTGGCATTTGTGAAAAATTTGAAAGTTGATTTTTTGTTATTTCGTGTTGTTGAAGGTAATATGGAAGTGGTATTTCATTTTGCATTTGTGTTGGTTGATACGAGTGTGTAATCATTGGGTTTTGTGGCTGAATTGGTTGAAAAGATTGTGTATCAATCGGGTTTTGCATTTGTATTGGTTGTTGATTTTGTGTATCTATTTGATGTGGAGAAAAAATTCTATGATATGTATATGGTTTTTGCACTCCTTGTCCGCGATATTGTTGGGTATATGGTGCAAATATATCTGGTTGTAAATAATCATCATCAGAGGATAGGTAATCCGTTTGATGAGGTGCTTGTTTTTTATTTTTATTCTGTTGAAAGAATGGGTAATTTTCACTATGATCCTGTGGAGGATGTGAATTAGTTTGAAAATTTACTGAGTTGGTTGTTGCCATTGGGTTATCCCAATATCGAGATTTTATCTGATTATTATTATTTTTTCGTGGGGGATAGTTTATTTTTGATGAATGTGCGTAATTATAATTGTGTTCCGCAAAAGTGTTTCTTGTGAACGTTCTGCGTGTTTGATGGTGTTTGAATATCTTGTTGAGTGAGATTCCTAGTTCCGTTGAGGTTTTCATTGTGTATGACGGTCGAGTTTAGGCTGTTATTTCGCGTATCAGGTAGAAATGTATTGTAGTTTAATGGTGTTGCATCAATTGTTAATGGTACTACTCTTACATAATCTCTTGTATAAGATATTGTACTTATTGCTTGACTTGCAATTGATTGTGGGATATTTATAAATGCATAATGAGACCATTCGGGGTCCCAAACGTAGTCTGAGTGTTCTGTGATGGCGGTATCATCGTTTGAATTTTGAGGTCTGAAATTTTTTCTTGCTTGTGAAATTAAATCTATATTATGTGTGAAATAATCTATTATAAACCATGCCAAAATTTTTTGTAAGTCATGTTTTGTATGTTCTGAAACATCATTTTAGTGAAATTTTCTTTAATTATATGTAGGAAAGTTGAAAATAGTGTGATTTCATGTCGTACCCTTATATGTTTAGATGTCTCTGTCGGTGAGACATTTGGGATTGGGATTTCGTTTTCTAATATTGAGATATAACTATATATTATGGCAAAAACTTCATTAGTAAATATGGAGTTTGCTCTTTGTGAGTTATGATATTGTATGCTTTTTATATATTCTGAGAATACTTTTGAAAATTCTAAATCAAGATCGTCTGTTTGAATTATATATTTGCGGTGATTCGGGTTTGGTGAACTAAATTCTATGGTGTAGATTCCGTATTGTTGTGTCAAATTACATATATCTTTCAGATAGTGATCAATAATTTGTCTTTTGATCTTTACATCTGGGAACTCTGCTTTACATGGGCTGATTCCGGGTTCAAATAAATTTAGAAGTAAATTCTTGCAAAATATTTGCTGTCCTCTATCATTGGGTGCATCTACGAGGAAGGGGTAGATATCATCATCATCTGGACTATCTTCACTTGGAGTGTGTGTTTGGCTCATTTTTTTGTTTAATGACTGTTAATAGGTAATTATCGATGTGTCTAATTGGTTGATTCCAATTATATAAATGTACTGGTTTGTGTTTATATTGCTTTTTTATTCTTCTTTTTCCTCTTTTTGATGAATTTGAAGTTGTTTCTGAGTCGGAAAAATATAATTGATCGTGAATGGGGCAATTTTTATGTATAGATTCTTTTAATTTAGAAAGTTCGTCTAAATTGCTGGCTTCTGATTCTGAAAATGCGTTTCTTTTTTTGGAAAATCTTTTTCGTGTTATTTGTCTTTGTTTAGTTATTATTTTCCTTTTTAGTGTTTGTCGTTTTGTTCTGATATATCCAACTGTTTGTGTGTGAGGTGTGATTACAAGGTCGTATTTTTTGTTATCTATTTCACAGTTGTGCAAAACGATTGTTTGTTTGTTTCCTAGATTTTTAAATGACATAAAGTTTAGGATGACGGATGCTAAAAGTTGTTAGATGATTTCTATTTTCTTAAATTGTTAGTCCTTACGATTTTTTGGTTAGCTTAACCTGGGTCTATTTGTTCAGGGTTGGAGAGAAAAGTATATCGATTCCGAAGAATGATTTTTTACTTTCTCGTGGCTAGTATAAGCTAAGGTGTTAGCTTACTTAATCTTACTTAGGGGTAATGATTGTGTTCAAGGGTTGGAGAATAGTAAATCGATCCACAAGGTTCAGGTATAATTAGAACGCGAGTAGTTCGTTAGATACTATTTTAAACTTACTAAGTCTACGATTTATCCTGGGTCTGGTAAGAGGAGGGTTCAAGTGAAGGATGAATAACCGAAGTTCTTCACTGTTTATCCTAATTTGAATGATTAGTTTTGTTCAAAAATTTCTATTAGTCTTGGGTTTTTTGAAAGGGTTGGATAGTGAATCGACGTTTGAGGTCGTTAGACACTAGCTAAGTGGGTGGGGAAGAACAAAATTGTTCTTTTTGATCCAAGGATAGGCCTTGATGATCAAGTTTTGTAAATTTAATTAAATAGAAAATTAATTAAGATCCAAGGATAAGCCTTGATGATCTGATTTTAAGATTAAGTGAATTTAAGTTTAAAATGGTTTAAATTTATCTAAGAAAAGATTTAGTGTTTTAATGATATTAGTGAGCTTATGATTGCTGTTATGTTTTAGGTGATGAAGCTGGGACAACTGATGATTTTTTGATTACTAACAGTTTATTGTCATGCTACTAATTTTTATTTTGATTTTCAATAAATATTTTCCAAACATGTTTTGTAGAATACTGCAGAATTTTAGGAAAACGATCTGAGATATTTTTATCAATCGTTATTGTATATTAATATTTTGTTTAGCGCCTGAAATGAGCATGAAGATTGACTTCAAGATTTAAGTTTGCAAATGAAAATCTAAATTCATTGCTAATAAGATTCTAAATATAAAAGTTTGTGTTGGCTTTTGCCGTACTATCATATAACTATTTGGTACGTTTCTACTTTGTCGTATGTCGTCTCTGGTTCGAGGTCTTCTTCCAATTCCGGGTAGTTCTCTTATCGTTCGGAATATTGGCTTTGATCTATTGAGTCGTAGAGACATTTCGATTAAATTATCGTCGTGTAACATTTTAAAAATGTTTTGTCTAAATTCTAATCTATTTTTGGTTAATTCTAAGCTATTAAGGTCTTGTTCGAGACTTATGGTCGCACCAGATGAGTTAGAACCGAGGTGGTTAACTCATAGAGTAATTTCGGATAGGGTACACCGTCTGCTCGTCACGCTATCTTATTTTCGGCCGGATAGATTCGTGCAACTTCTTAGTCTAATACCGATCCTAATCTTACTCTTATACTATCTAGTCTCAGGTTGTTTAACTAGTCTCTGCTAGGCTCAATAGATCTAGGGTATACTGGTTTATTGCGGCTGCTGAAGTTCTCTTGGAGAGGCAACTAATTTCTAAGTTAAATTCAAATCTCTCTGGTGCTGAAATTACAAGTAATTTCAGCACTTACAAATAAGTGGGTTGTTAGTTAGATGGATCATGATTGGTTAATATTAAATACTTTACAGTGGTAAAATATCTAATTTATCCAATCATAAAATTTAGTTTAGATCAGGTTCCACAATAATGGCTAGTGCTTTTAAAAAAAGAATTTGTATATTTTAGCAGTCTTTTGGATTGGCCAAAATAACTCTCCGACTTCTATTGGAAAAGTCAAGCGACCCTGTTATTTAAATAATTTCTGCACGACGCGCAACTTTTTGAACAAAAGCGCCTTTTGATTTAAAAAAAAATATCCTCGGCCACCTACAAATGAATGGCCTAAAAATACAAAAAAAAACAATTATTTGGGCGATAAGTGGATAAAGTTACTCAGCTGGAAACCGCACACACCCCGTTACCTGTTTCTTAGTTCGACTAGTGCTTCATTCCTGATTTACACTACATAGGTGTAGACTTTTATTCAGACTCTAAGACAACGTTTTGGATCTCTTTAACTATTCCCTTCAACCCCTATGAAACCTAGTAAAGAATAACCACACCCTGATGCGCATTTTAAGATGCACATTTTAAGATCCACATTCATGATGCACATTTTAAGTTTTTTTTTTCACCACCAAAATATCAGCACACAGCTTTAGTTTCATGATTTATATCGAAGAATTATATTTCACCTACCGTGGGATTCTTTTGACATCCGATGAAACTTTTGTTTCGTGGTAAAACTTTGTATTCAGATGCATGAACCAAAGGGAGTCAAAACATCTCATTTTTTGAAATTTTGACATAAAAAAGGATTATAATAGATTATAAATGATTATGAGAGAGTTTCGGAGAAATTATAATCAATTATGATTGATTAGCATTTATTATAATGTCACGAAAAATGTTATCATTATAATGGATGGTAGGGGGGGATCAAAGTTAAAGAGATCAAACTTTTGTGTTTGTTTCTAATCTCACTTCCTGAGAGCTTTTCTTTTAGTCCATATTTGGTTGTTTTTAGGATCTTCCAGAACGGGAGGTGTACATGCCCCCCGTGACCATCCGGGTGATGGACTGCAGGAAGTTCGGCAGGGAGACCCTGGTGGGGACCCACAGTATTCACTCCCTAGCCCCCCTCATACACCAAAACGACACTGACAAGGGGGATCAAAATGATGATCAAATGTCAACGTTCTGTGAGTCAAAAAAGCTAATAAATGAAAACAAATAAAAAAAAATTCAATCACGTTTTTTTTAATCCGAAGAGTTTGTCAACTTTGACCGGTACAAAAAGCCAAAAAATGAGTGTCAAATTAATAATTTCACTTCATTTGTTGCCCATTTTGATCAGTTTGGTTTTACAAATAGTTTATTGAAAACTAAATTGTTCAGTTTATCAAAATTCCTCCAAAGCGTGCCTCCAAAATTCGTGTGCATTTCATATGAGAAGTTACTTAAGATCAAGGAAGCGGTTTGCTACATGTTTAATAATAATAAATTGTTTCCAGTATATGTCGACATTCATTAAAATAATTTTTTAAATAAGTTATCATCTTAAAAAACCAGTCTGTGAGATCTTCATTACACAAATTATGCTTGTTTTCAGACGTTTCTGCGTATTTCTGATATATCCGCGTAAATTTCGTCTATCTGATATTTTTATTTTTGGCATATTTAATTTCAAAAAGCCCTGACCAAACCAGGATTGTTCTGGCTCTTTTGTTCCAGCTGCACCCTCTGCTCTCCTGAAAGATACCCCGATAGATCCAGATAGTCACTTGGGCCACACCATCATCCAGATGGACCACGACCAACAGATCCGGCAGAAGGTATCAATTACTTACATTCCGTGTTTCAACATGCACGTGTATTTGGATGCATCAGATCTCAATATTGGCTAACTTTTGTTCCGCAAGCAATTAAGCAAGGGGCTGGATTTAAAAAAAAATTTTTTCGGGTATGGATTTTTTATTAATGGCTTAGGATATGATGTAACGCCCTTTTTTGGAAAAGCATTTTACGCAAAGCGGTATTTTCATTATAAAATCTTAAACCGTAGACTAGGAGAACAAAGTTTTGGCGATTTGGCCATAAAAATTTGGTCATAAAAAGCGACTAAAATATATTTCTTAAACTTATTTTGTGTCTAATTGAAGCATGATTAAAACTATAATTGCATGGTTCTATATTTACAGCTACTAACAAGATTGATTTAAGTTCAACTTCTTTTTCTCAGCTGGTTGAGGGAATCGACAACCCGTGCCTGATATTGGAAGAAGTATACGATGACCGGAAAATACTAATTTCCAGAAGCCAGACAATCAAATCAGAGTATCAAACTGCAACCAATGATTCAGGATCAGGGTCCAGTTTCATTAATCTGGATCAAAAATCAATATCTAACCAGAGTTTGAAGGATCCAATTATTTCTGAAAATATATACGGAACAATATTAAGCCAAAACAACTCACGTCAAGGAAGCAAAAGTCCAGAGCATTTATCAGAAAGACTGGAACTGAAAAGCAGGAGAAATTCCGAAACCGGATCCAGGAAGTCGGTTTCGATTAAAGCGTTGAGCTTGCAAGAAACAACTGAATTTCAAACTAACCCGAATGCTCCGACCGATTTAAAGTTTTCGGGCAATGAAAATGATGAGCATGATTTGGTTCCTCAGAACAATGAAAACGAAACAGATGCAGTTGCAGAAGAAAAGGGTAAAAAAGAAGCGCCAAAACAAGCGGCAAAAAACAAAGTAAGCTGACACCCTTTTTGAAAAGCTTGTGAGTATAATTATAGTTTACTGCTTTCCATGAAGGTTTGGTGCTTCTTAATTGATAACCCAGGGGTTTAAGTCCAAATAAAATTAAACCTCATTTTTTGAGCTAAAACTTTGTAAAAAAAACTTGGTTTTTTGTTAATTCTTGCATGTTTTTTTTTTTGGTAATGGATCTTTTCCAGGTCTATTTTGCGCTGGTCTATCATCTTATAATTTCGTGTTTCCTGTGTGAAGGGCTCTTCAATTTCTCCCTTTTCGTTCATGCAGCTCAGCTCCGCCCATTCTGAACCGGGCAATAGATTCAACAACCTCGTCGACAAATTCTCGCACCACAAGCCGAAACACGCACAAACGAAGAACCTAGCATTCCTCGCTCCGGTTGTTCTGGGTGCTGAATTCGCTCTAACGGGCGTAGGCTTGGAGCCCCAGGTTAGCTGTGTCAGTGAAGGCTTACCGGTTGTTTTTTTTGTAAAACTGAAAGTAACTAATTTCTTAACGAAATTTTTCCTGGCACTTAACATGGTACCTGGATAGCTATATAGATGATAGACTCAGATGAATGAATTAAGTTGAACAGGGGCGAATTTAGGGGGGAGGGGGGCAGACGCTTTCCCCTCAGGGATTCGACCCCGTGCCGACCCAAAGGGCCCCACCTTTATACTATTTTGAGATAACCATTTTTGGCAGACGGACCCTTAATTTTTTCTAAAGGCGCCTTTGCCGCCAAAATTTAATAATTTTGAGGGGGAAGTGCGAGCCGAAAAAATGCAATTTTTTTGGTCAATTTTTTCCAAAAAAAGCCTAAAAACGCCTTTTTTGGCTTTTTTTTTCAAAATTTTGCCTGCGGCGCAGAAAATTTGGCCAAAACGGTCTTTTTAGTGCTGCTTTGGGGAATTTTTTTGAAAATACGCCCCCTTCGACAATCTTTCTCTCCTTTTTTCAAAAATTTCTCTTTTTCTCCTATTTAGTGCCCAATTTTATTTGCTAATTCACCTTTTGTCCATTGAGCCTAATTACTTTCTTATGGAACCACGGAATCTTAAAATGCCAACACGCGATTTTTGATACTTTTCAAACAAAAGCGGTTTTTCGGTTCTTGTAGAAAAAAATTACTTTAAGTTTTGAAAAGACCGGAAAGCCAGCTTATTCGACCTCGAAAAGATGGTAGCAAAGTAGTACCGACAAAATGTTCCCTTTTTTGAAAATACGAGATTGTCTTTTCGATTCGATTATATAAATTTTGTAGACACATTTCACATTTTGATTTTTTTGGTTCAGCTACACAGTTGGAACAAATTTTTCCACGGCAAAAAAAATTTGACTGATTATTTATTACTAAACACTGGCATTTCTAAACCAGGCTCAAACTGAGTTGACTATGAACAATGTACCTGAACCGGCAGCAGAAATCGAACACCAGTTTTTGAGAGTAAACTCAACCGCAGATATACTCAAAGACAACAGTGACATTCTAGTCGGGTCTCATATCGGCTTTGACGAGAATAAGTCGGTTTTTGACGACGCTGATGGCGATGATTACGATGACGGCGGCGAACACCATTCGGATGACTCGGAGAGCGAAGTGCTCATTAAAAAATCGAAACACGACGAAAAAGTAGATTACATGTCAGGAATGCAGAATGCACTAACTATAGACATAAGGAAAAATTTCAGTTTGTAGAAATTATTTTGAAATCTTACATTACCATATTTCCATCAAAATTTTCACAAAAACAACTTCTTTTTACATTCGATACAGATATATGCAAGTCACAAACTGGGAAATCGCTCTCTAATTATTTCTTTTATCTGAAACTTTTCCAATTTTCTGTTGATAACAAAAATTGAGTGCTTGTGAAGGAATGGTAAGCAGAGATGAAGCTTTATACGATGGGATGATTGGGTGATTAATGAGCCAAGATCAGTCAACAAAAAAGCTTTTGAAGTCGAAGACCACAACACTTTTCTTTCGACGCATGGGTTTTCAGTCAAATTTCTACATGTTGCTTATGGGCTATCTACGCAGTTACGTTCATCCAATTTGCTTTCCGTTAAATTTTTGCTTGTAATTGTAAACACGATTACATATTTGAACTAATTCATAACCCAAAATGTCACTGTCGCAGAAAAAATTGCACAAAATAAAAAAGCCAATTAACTTGAACCTCACTTAAGCTTCAACTTTTGGTGGAAGGTGGTTTTACAGAAAATAGTCAGCAAGCCATTTGGCTCTTTTTCCTTCCCCCCCCCCACCTGCAAATTTTTACCTGTAAATTTTTTGACCACATCGTCTGATTGTATTGAAAATTTACATACGGACTAATAAGGTCACGACAAACATATTTGGTTTTCATACTCAACCTCGTAAAACCACTAGTTACACATATATATTGAAGCTCGTGTGATGTGGGGGGGGGGGGGGGGGGGGGGGAGGAAAAAGAGAAAAAGAGCCAGCCATTTCTTAGCAATCGCACATTTTGAAATAAATTATGAAACTAAAATAAATTTCGCAGGGGGTGATGGGGAGGGGGGGTTTGTAGAAAGAGCCGAGCAGCCATGTTTAGTAAGTATGGGACTCGACATGAAATTTGACTTACAACTGTGCATGTCTTAAAATTTTATTTGGAGTTTTATTTTTATGCAAGTTGGTGCCTAGAAGATTGTTTTTATGTTTCACATGAACGCTTTCTTTTTGTCGAGTTCTTTTTTTGTTGCGAGTTGATGCGAGAACTTCGGAAGTATTGACTTAAATCTGGCGCTGTAGAGATTGACTCACGAAAATAGAGATTGACCCACTAAACTAGATATTGACCCACTAAACTAGATATTGACTCACTAAAATAGATATTGACTCACTAAAATAGATATTGACTCACTAAAATAGATATTGACTCACTAAAAATAGGGACTGTCTCACTAAAATAGAAATTGACTCACTTAAAAGTAGAGATTGACTCACTAAAATAGAGATCGACTCACTAAAAGTAGAGCTTGACTCACTAAAAATAGAGCTTGACTCACTAAAAATAGAGATTGACCCATTAAAAATAGAGATTGACTCACTAAAAATAGAGAATGACTCACTAAAAACAGAGAATGCCTCACTAAAAACAGAGATTGACCCACTAAACATAGAGATTGATTCACTAAAAATAGAGATTGACTCACTAAAAATAGAGATTGACCCATTAAAAATAGAGATTGACTCACTAAAAATAGAGATTGGCCCATTAAAAATAGAGATTGACCCACTAAACTAGATATTGACCCACTAAACTAGATATTGACTCACTAAAATAGATATTGACTCACTAAAATAGATATTGACTCACTAAAAATAGGGACTGTCTCACTATAATAGAAATTGACTCACTTAAAAGTAGAGATTGACTCACTAAAATAGAGATCGACTCACTAAAAGTAGAGCTTGACTCACTAAAAATAGAGCTTGACTCACTAAAAATAGAGATTGACCCATTAAAAATAGAGATTGACTCACTAAAAATAGAGAATGACTCACTAAAAACAGAGAATGCCTCACTAAAAACAGAGATTGACCCACTAAACATAGAGATTGATTCACTAAAAATAGAGATTGACTCACTAAAAATAGAGATTGACCCATTAAAAATAGAGATTGACTCACTAAAAATAGAGAATGACTCACTAAAAACAGAGATTGACCCACTAAACATAGAGATTGATTCACTAAAAATAGAGATTGTCTCACTAAAAATAGAGATTGACCCATTAAAATTAGAGATTGAGTCACTAAAAATAGAGAATGACTCACTAAAAACAGAGATTGACCCACTAAACATAGAGATTGATTCACTAAAAATAGAGATTGACTCACTAAAATAGAGATCGACTCACTAAAAGTAGAGCTTGACTCACTAAAAATAGAGCTTGACTCACTAAAAATAGAGATTGACCCATTAAAAATAGAGATTGACTCACTAAAAATAGAGAATGACTCACTAAAAACAGAGATTGACCCACTAAACATAGAGATTGATTCACTAAAAATAGAGATTGTCTCACTAAAAATAGAGATTGACCCATTAAAAATAGAGATTGACCCATTAAAAATAGAGATTGAGTCACTAAAAATAGAGAATGACTCACTAAAAACAGAGATTGACCCACTAAACATAGAGATTGATTCACTAAAAATAGAGATTGACTCACTAAAAATAGAGAATGACTCACTAAAAACAGAGATTGACCCACTAAACATAGAGATTGATTCACTAAAAATAGAGATTGTCTCACTAAAAATAGAGATTGACTCGCGAAAAATAGAGATTGACTCATAGTGTCTTTCAGAAGGGTGAGAGTAAGTCTAAGAAGCAGAAAGACGAAGACGATGAGGACGAGATAGTGTTGGACTGGTGGACCAAGTACTTCGCCTCAGTGCACTGTTTCCGGGAGACGTACGGGGCAGACATCCCCGCTCTGCTCGCGCTAGGTCACGTGGAAAAGAAGAACAAGCAGGGAGATCACGATGACGAAGACGGTCGGCTTCACTTCTTTTCCGCGGATTTTTCAAGGGGCCCTTTAAGAAAATTTAAGAATCAGAAGCCCCTCCCCCTCCCCGGGTCGAAGTTTGCGATTTATGTTTCGACCGACGAGGCTCGAACACATGTCATAGCTCGACCTAAAATTCATAGCCGAGAGGGCTCTATACTCGAACTGACTAGAGTCTGCAAATTGACAATATTTCTAAAAAGTCTTTGGACGTTTCTGTAGTTGCGGTTTTTTCGAATCTTTTTTCATTTATTTAGACTCAGTGGTTTCTCTTTCATTTTTGGTCTGCTAGTTGGCAATGGTAATTTTGCGTGGTGCCCCAAGGGGTGCGAATCTCCCCTTCACCTCAGTTGAAAGTCAGCTGATTGTAAAAATTGTATCAATATCGATGAAAAACTCTGCTACTAGTTCAACAAGCAACCATAAACATTGCCCAACATAAGTAGCTGCATTTTTTCAGACGAAGCAGACGGACCAAAAGGCAAAAAGAGTCTCAATGAAAAGAAAAACCAGTCAGCAGAAAAAAAGGAAAAGAAAAAAAAGAAAAAGAAGGACGAAGTTTGTTTCGAGGTATGAAAACATTCCGCGACATCTCATACTCGTATTCATTTATGAAAATGCACATTATTTTCCGTTATTTCCCAGAATGAAAATGTTCAGTATTTCGTTGAACAGAGAAAACTGGATGGAAAATTAATAAACATGCATTGATATGACAGATTTTCACTGCGAGCCAATTTCGGATTTGGTGATTATTAACTGAAATATCCGAAATAATTTGTGCTTTCTTCCTATTAGCATCTTGCCTTGTCTGGCTTCAGATGTTAACGTATCTCACTTTTTGGCATGTTTCAGAAAAAGGTAGAGTAACATAAGATTGATTGATTCTAATTTATCTTTCTATTTTGGACCTGATTGTTTTAGCTTCTCTGCTCTGAAGCAACGATTAAACCTCATTTTCAAAAGTACTCGTGGCGACGTCGGGTGGAACTAGGATTTCTCGAGAGTGGTTTTCGAAAAAATCTTGGCAATTTTTTCGACCAGTTTTTAGGTCGTCCAAATTGATATTACAAAGCTCTCCCAAAACCCTAAAATAATAGAAAGAGACCATAAATAGCCAAAAATAACCTGCTAAAATACTAGAGAGACACCAATAGCTGCTAGTGACAAATAAGAGACGCCGAAAAGATCACAGAGCCGAACTCTGTTATCATGACAAGGGGCACTACAACAGTGCCGAAGTACAACAGTGCCGAAAACGAAAACTTACACGTTTTTGATAAATTAGTTCTTGATAAATTGAAAATAAAAAACAAATTGACAAATTTTTTGGGTAAAATTTTGGTTGAAAGTATCGAAAAACAAATGTTGCTGTTGTTGTTGTTGTGGATTCTCAGAAATACTTCTGATGGGACTGCTCCCAGTTCGTTTCTTCTTAAAACGTCTTCCATACATCCCTGCAGTTTCGACAATCACAAAACAGTATCCATGTGCAAGGATTCGCCTTATTGAGTTTCGCCATTTGATAGGTCCACATAAAATTCAAGAGTCTGTTTTTTAGCCCCGTGGGATTGAAGAAATCTACTGTTCCAGGTAGATGATTGGCCACCCGAGACAGCCTGAAACAAAACTCAGCGCGAGCTTTTTCTGTGCGGACTTTTTTAAGGCTTAATGTCGGGCCGTCATTTTGTCTTGTATTTGAGGCAGACTTGTTGGTTAATAGTCGTATTTGTAAATCGTTTTCACTGTGAAAAAAGCTCGATAGATTCAATAGATTGCATAGCTGTATGAACATAGTAAGGGGCAATGTATTCGTTCGTTTCAACAACGTTAGATAATCACTCTCATAACTGTTTGTTACCCATTTTAGCGCTCTTTTCTGGAATCGTTCAAGTTTTGATAAATTTGCGCGGCATATATTAAAACACGAAGATGCAAATGTTATAAGTGGTAAAACCGCTGACTTGTAAACACCCAATTTTACTCTCTGTGAAACCCCTTTTGCCACATTTCTTTTAGCAAAATAGAAAATCTGATTAGCTTTTTTCATTCTCGCCATTAGATGATTTGACCAGCTTAGGGTTTTATCAATATTTACCCCCAAATCTTTTATTGTTTCTACTGATTCAAGCATATGCCCATTGATTTGAATTGAATTTGAGTTTCCTCGAAAAATCAGCTCTTTGCATTTGTCAGGAGCCAACTCCATTTTGTTTCCGTTCACCCAAAGCCGATATATCTGATTGTATTTCAAATTTGGATAGGCCCGCCGAGAAAAGTTTTAAATCGTCTGCATAAATGAAGGGAGTAGTGAATTTTAGCACTTCTGGCAGGTCATTTATAAAAATGCAAAACAGTAACGGCCCCAGCAGAGACCCTTGAGGAACTCCATTTGTAACTAATTTAGAAGAGGTTGATACATTGTCACATTTTACCCACTGCGTTCTGTTTTCAAGATAGCTCGCTAAGGCTTCCAAAAAACACCCCCCTACTCCAATATTCGCCACTTTTTTCAACAATTCAAAATGGGGCACTTTATCGAATGCCTTGGAAAAATCGGTGTAATAAACGAGCACTTCATCGTTCGGATTTTTATCCAGCGCCTCGTAAACTCGTTGTAAAAATGCTAACAGATTAGTTACAACCGACTTCTTTTTAACAAAACCATGTTGACTTGATTTCATGTATTTTTGAAAGTGATCGTAAAGTGGTTCGTACATGCATTTTTCGAGCACTTTAGAGATAATTGTTAATAACGAGACAGGTCTGTAGTTTTTTATTTGCCTTTTGTCGTCTTTTTTGTGTATGGGCGAAATAGCAGCACTTTTCCAGAATTTAGGAACACATCGTACCCTCTTGATATTTTTGAAAATAGCATTTAAAATGGAGCTCATCGGTTTAGCTAAACTTTTCAAAAAACAAGGCGGCAGGCCATCCGGGCCTTTACTTTTTGTTACATCCAGTTTAGTCAACAATTCTCGAATTTTGTTTTGAGATATGTCAAAATTTATGAGGAAAGCATTTTCGCAAGCAATGTCTGTTACTTTAAAATTCAATTTCGAAGTAAATACAGAGTGGAAAAAATTATTTAATTTTTCGACTTTTTCAGTTGACTCCTTATATTTAATACCATTTAATTCCATTTCACGCGGTAGGCTCGACTTCTGCTTTTTCAAGTTTTTGAAATGTTTGAAAATCATGTTAGTATTTCGAGAACCTAAGATACTTTCTTGGTACTCTACTCGTTCTAGTTCCATATTTTGCATTAAACTGCTTTCAAAACTCGTTATCGTTTCCTGCAAATGGGGAGTAGGTCTTGAGTCGAATTGTTTTCGCTTTGTTTCTAGAATTTTAATCAAATTTGAAGTCTTTGGACTCACCCAAGGTGGTAATTTTTGTCTATGCATGGTTCGTTTTGGAACAAAATTTGAAATTAGATTGTTGATATATTCGTACACTTCGTCAGACATTCTATCGATAATTGTAAAACAAATAAGTGAAAAGGGATATTTCTGCATATAATCAATCATGCCATCATAGTCCGCCGAGCAAAAACTATAAAAACTTTCTTTGACTGGTTTTTCGTCTTGAACATCTATTTCAATTTTCAGCGGTATAGGTCTGTGATCTGTTATATCATAGCTTTTTTCAAAATTCGTGCAAATTTCAGCGAAACCCTCCAACCTCCTCATTAGAGCGACATCTAATATATTTGAACCACAAGTTGGAAATTCAATTAATTGATTCATTTCTGCTTCGTCTACTAATTCCAAAATTTCATTTTCATATATACTCGTGCTTTGGTTAATTCTCCAATCCGTTTGAGGGAAATTTATGTCGCCACATAAAAGAACATGATGATTTTTGATGGAGACAATCGAATCAAAAATCTTTTTGAAATCTTCAAAATTATATCTGTATTTGCTATCTTCTGGGGGATTGTATACGCAAAAAATCACGAAATTGAAATTGTTCACTTCTATTTGAACCGCTAATGCACATTCTGGTAGATCTAGATTTAGTTTATATGAATTAAAACAATCTCTTACTGCGATAAGAACACCACCGTGATTCGAAGTGTTACCTGTTAATTTGCGGTCCGCTCTATAAACAGAATATTCAAGTAGCATGAGTTCAGTGTCTTCAATTTGATCATTTAGCCAGGTTTCAGTCACTAAAAGTACAGATGCTGCACAATGAGATACAGCTCAAACAAATTTACTTCTTCTTTCAAATTTCAATAAACTCCTGGCATTCAACAGTACACAGTTTAGGTACATTAGTCATTCAGTGGCTTTTTTAGCATCAATGTTTACCAAAACATCGTCTTTAAATAATTGGAAGTTACGAATTTTCAAGCTGCTGGGTGGTACGTTTGCATTTATCAATTCACGTCTTTTTTGAAGGCATAAATTTTCTTTCTTTGAATCCTCATAGCTTAGGGCAGGCAATATAAAAAACCCCATATTTTTCAGGTCATCCCACATTTCAGCACTTTTGACTAATATCAATTTTGCATGTCATTCAATAGATAGTGTAACCATAGTAACTCTTGGTTTAGAACGACTTTCTGAAAATTTTCCAAGTCGATGTACATTTTCCACGTTTGCATTCACTCGCAGTTTTTCAAATATTTCTTTTATTGTTTCGTTTGCGTGAAAAACAATTTCATTTTTTGAAAAATCTTTGTTTTCAGGAATTTCCTGAATTCTTAGACATTTCGACACAATGTGAAAGTTATTTGACTTCTTATCATCTGCTTTTTTTTTTCTGTTTCATGCTATTTTTCTTGATTAAGGCTTCTGCCTTCTCGGTGCTTTTTTCGGTAAGCGCATTCATTTTTGAATTGAAAATTTGTTCTATCGTGTTTTCGATTACAGGCTTTAGGGTATTGACGACCGGAATAAATTTGCTCTCAATAATATCAGTAGTGAATTTATCTTTAAGTTGCTGAATTGTAGCATCTTGAACAAAGTCGTCCCTCTTGTTGTTTGCTACACAGTCGTTGCAGAGAAGCATGACCCTCGTTCCCAGTTCCCTGATTCCATTGACTGCCACAGGTGTCAAACCAGTGCATGTAGTATCAAGATGCATCCTTGCGTCACATCCCACACAGTGGTACATTTCAGCAGAAGACATCATTGGTTTACGGCATGATTTGCAGCTATGACGTTGATTTGACATGTTTATATGAAACTATTTAATAAGAACTGCAACCTATTAATCCTTGTGAACGTCTAAGCAACTTTTTTTCTCTAAATTTTTGTCTATTAGTAACCCAAAGTGAAATATTTGTACGTTTATTCCGGTTACTTTAAGCCAATACTTGAATTACGATAAATTGCAAACAACTAGTCAAAAAATAAATGTTGGCCCCTCACCTCGTATTTCTTTTCAGGCTCAGTTTTTCTTTTAGTTCTTAGCGCCTAAAATTGAAAAAAAAGGTAATCATCCACATCCAAACAAGAAAAATTTATCATACAGTTCCATAATTGGAATATATGAAAAAATGCTCAATACGCAATTTTCTTAATTAAAAATTGTGTGACAAGCATTTTTGCATGATAACATAATTTTTTTAAAGTACGAATTCAAAACTTGAGAGAGAAAAGGTTCGGATATCTATAACGTAGTCCAGACTAAATTTTTTGAAAACAAATAAACCAGACATGGCTATATTTGTGTGCAGCTTGATTAAATAACATTTTTCATACTTAAAATATACTTAAATCTGTCAAAAAAGACACCAATTTTTAATCACTGAGTGTTTCAAAGTAGAAGCAAATTTATTATATATGCATATCTTGCTTCAAATACTTTAAAAACATCTGAATTTTTTAAAAATATATGTATAATATAAGGATAAAAAACTTTCTGAAATTTAAGAATAAATTAATTTATATGCTGTCGAAAAACGAAAAGAAGCGATCTTTCGCATATTCATTACGCAAACATTGATAAAAACGCAAATGTTGAATCCAATTTTCATTTTTTTCAGTCACTTTTTGTCCGTGATGTAATAAGAGGGTCTGATTGATATCCTTTTGTTTTTTTCTTCAAATTTGGGCAGAGCTTTTTTCCAAATTCTTGCTGAACTTTTTTGAATTTTTGATACGATTTTTTTTCCTGGAGTAAAAATAGGTTTTCAAAGTTTAAACAAAAAACTCTTCTCCTATTATAAGTCTGCTCGTTTTTTTGGCTTGAATTGAGACTGAAAGTACTTTTGCGTAATATATCACTCGGCCATTTCCGATGATTATTTTGATACCTGACTTTGAGTTTCAAAAAGCCGAAATCCTCTGAAGATAAATTTCCTCTCCACTTCTAATGATTGGATCAATAGAACTACTGTAAAATGCAAAAGAAATTGAAAAGAATTTGATGCATGCGACCAATCTCAAACAAAAAACAAATTGGCCGAATTAAGTTACACAAGCCTGATAGACTTGCATAAAAATTAATTGAGCCTAACGAAAATTTATTTATGAAAAACGGGTCAAGTTGAAAAAAGCATTTTTTGGTTACTTTGATTAATTGACACTGTTCCAATGGTCTGTTGACTACATAGATTAACTTGAAACGAAACTACTTGCGTGTTTCTGGCTCTGAAATTGATTCGTATTAGTAATGCACTTGTTTAAACTGTTTTAGCGAAAGGTATGAGAGTGGAGATTGTTTGACAGTTGTCTGCTCTTTTTCGCTTATTCCTTTTGATAATGTTTTGCTGTTTCTTAGGACCCGAATAGGGAACGCTATAAACATGTCTACAAAAGCCTGGTTGGTTGATAACTTACCATTAATCTTTAATCACTTTTCCTCGTCTCGTGACTGTAACAACTGGTGGTACCTGTTTTTAAAAAACTCTACCTGGTGAATTTCCATCAACCATCTGTTATACCCTCACCTGTTTTTTTTTCATTATGAGGTGTGGCCTATTCTGTCTCCGCCAAATTATTTCCATGCAAATTAATGTATATTGTTTTTCAGGGTTATGTAGGAAGTTACATAATAATTATAATATGATTTGTTCATGTGTGGGCCGGTGACTTTACGAGTGAAACACGTGAACAGTTAAACACGTGAACATGTTTTTTAACCGTACCTGTTTTTTAACTGTTGTTTATTTGAAAAAAAAACACGTTTTTTGGCAATCAGTTATAAAATCTTTGGTAACTTAATTATTTGATAAATTTTTTTTGGGTGGTCAGTAATAAAACTTCGGATACTTAATATATAAAATTTTATTTAAAATGACTTTTCATTTTATAAACTGCATTAAAACGTGTCAGCGTGAACAGGTGAACAACTTTTCACAACACTTCTTACATGCAAAATGCCGTGTGAACAATTTTTGAACAGCGTTATTTTGAAATTTTACGAGGGGGGTTGGGAAAGTGGAAGAGCCAAAACTCGTGGTAACTTTCAATGATTTGATAAATAAAGATTTCAGGTGTTCAGCGATGAGCTGGAGAAGCAGCCTGAGTTCGGGGGATTCGTGGACCTGTTCGAGTCTTTCAAACTGAGGAGGGGCAAGAAGGAGTCGGAGGAGGAGGAAGAGGACGCCAGAGTGGTGGGAGTATTCAAGGTACGAAACACAGAAACGTGTCTTTGTTGCTATACAACCCAAAAGTTGAATAGACTAAAAGAAGAAGCTTTATTTTTGCAAGGAGTAGCTTTTTTGCAAAATTGGGAAGTGTTGAAAAAATGAAAAAATAGCATCAAATAAAAGCACAATTCGTATAAGGCATTTTTCGTATAAAGTGAGATATAATTCGACCCCTTGACCCAGCAGTGGATTTAGGAGGAGGGGGCGGACGCCCCTCTCAGTGATTTGAACTTCTGCTGACCCAAATGGTTCCCTCTTTTTTGTCTGGCTGATACCAATTTTTTTCCGGGCGCCTCTGACGCCAATATATACTAACTGAGTTTATCAATTTATCAAAATTTCGCCTGCAGCGCAGAAATTTTGGTCAAAATGGGTACTTTATAGTGATATGGGAGAGCTCAGAAATCGGTAAAACTTTCATTTTTTTGAAAATCCGCATCCCACTTTCGAGAAAATCTGAAATCAACCTCCCCCTGTCCTGGCCATTCAAAGCCTCCCTTTGATGGTTCTATAAAAACCATTTTTGGTTGACCAACTTTTGTTTTTTAAAGCGACTTAGGCGCCAACGCATACTCAATTTGAGGGAGCGCGCACTCAATAAAATACTTAATTTTTGGCCAACACTCTTTTCAAAAAGCACCCAAAACTGCATTTTGACGTTTTTTTTTCTCTTCAAAATATTCCTTGTGGGGCACAGAATTTAGGCAAAGTGGAGTCTTTATGAAGTTTAAGGAAAACTCAAAAAAATAAAATGGGTCGACCAGAAAAAAGGTCGACAAAATCTTTGAAAATGCAACCCTCGAAAAAATTGAACCACTTTGTTGATAAATTAGTTTCAGCATTTTTTAAGAACATATTATGATGAATGCAGGCAGATGTGGAGCGAAGCTTGGTATCACTTTCGATACAACACAAACATAGCATGGCAAACTAGGAGACAGTAAAGGAGACTAAGAAAATCTTGAACTACAAAAATTTGAACAATCTAAGCTTTGGCCATTAAAAATCTAATATGAGGCAATTCAGCCAATATACCATACTCCATACTCGAGCCCAAGAAGTTTAAGAGCAAAAATTACTCAAAACAGAAGGGCACTCTAAAACAATGAAAATTCCTTGACCATTAACAATATCCATGCTTTGGAAAGTTAGCCGACCAAAATAAGTAAAGAAAATTCCAGAAATAGAAACCATGTCCAGCTGGGACTGGAAACCAAGACCTTTTACTCTCAAGTCACGCAATTTAGCACCAGAACAATTAGTAAGGGCGTGGAACTTACTGATGTTTCTTTCTATAGCCAAGGTAGTTTCTTATAAGAAAAAATATTTACGGGAAAAAGTCTAATTCGCAATTACAATCGTAACAGTCGTAAGGGATATTATCTATGCTCGAATTTGACACAGAGGCGAAGCTGAGCTTCGCACCACTTGCGATACAACGGAAAAAAGTCGGACATGTCGAAAAAACTGGATCAGATCCAAGGTTAGTTTTGAAACAAAGACATGCCGAGAGAATAGAATGTAAAATTACCATCAGACGATAATTTCCCGAGCGGTAATAAATAGCTTGACAGAAACCTGTGAAGCCGAAAAAAGTTCAACAAGATTTCAGACTTATTAAAAGTCCCCGTCGCCCTCAAAACACTCAAAAACACTTTATTTGCACGTCAAATGAAACAATATGAGACAACTAAGCCGAGATAATATAGCCCAAAACCTAAGAAACCCCAAATAAAAAAAAATTAAAACTAAAAAGAAGTAATTAAGACCCACTCGCCCTCAAAACACATAAATGCACACACACATACACACGCACACACACACACACACACACACACACACACACTCACACGCACACTTTAATCGCTCGTCGATGGACGCAATATGAGGCGGATAAGCCGATATAATTTAGGCCTAAACCTATTAAGTCGAAAAAAAGGCGACGAAAAAATTGTTATCATGAAAATTTTGAATTATAACTTCTATTATGATGTCTAGCATTTTCTTAATCCGCAGATAAGCATATAGTTGTGCTATATAGTTTTAATCCACAGATAAGCAAAAAACATGTTAAAATTGAAATAATTCAAAAAAGGTCACTAAGCCGATAAAATAAAGGCCAAAATCATTTGGGAAGAATAAAGTTTTTAATCAAAAATATATATATATCTACGCTTTCAAGGTTAAAAAAATAGAAAGAAACAGGTAAATCAGAACAATAAAAGCAACTATATTGTAAAAAAAACTTAAGTTCAAAAAATCTATTCAGTTGAATGGTAAAAACAAAGCCGAAGCTAAGCCGACAAATAGAAAACCGAAAGCGTCGAAGTCGAAAATTCAAAAAAATACCAAAGAAATATGTAAAAAATTTGAACTGCGAATTTATTTGAGTATCACTAATAAGGATGCACAGTGAGAGTAATAGACCAATGAGCGCAAACATATGACGCACACATTGCATGCATGTCGTGTACTGCATGCAGCTGAAATCTGTGGAGAGTTGTTTATGGGAAAAAAGTCTAGTACCAGATTGCAATACCCTTGCTATCGCAATGGTAAAAAAGTTTTACTGATTGAAAATGCAAACAAAACATAAGAATAGCCGGTCACTGTGCAAATAGCAAAAAATATTCCGATCATAGTCTTCAAAAAGTACATTTTTCTTCAAATTAGTGCCGTTTTGGTGTAAGAAAAAATCTGAAAAAAATACAAATTAGGCAATTGCGACAGTCATAGTCAAATAAGCCAATTGGAGAACAGTTCTTGAAGAAAAACGGCTATAAAAACGAAAATTAAAATCGTAGAAACATTTCAGAAAAACTTTCAAAAAGTTTTTTTTTGCAGAAGCTTTTGAATTTTTAAATTTGTGATTCTCAAAATGGCGCTAAAAAACTCTAAGAACGAACTTTACTCGGTTAAAACTAAGTTCTTACGGCTTAGTTTAAGCCTAAAAAACCTATTTTAAGCCTGCACGCTCACTTTGTTAGCTCGAAGTTAGATCAAATTTTCATACCGGTTTTTCTCGACACTAAGATTTTTTGTTTTCAAAATTTTTGAATTTTGCTCAAATCACGACTAAAAGTGCTTGATTACGACCAATGATTCGACCCATTTTGATGATTATTTGTTGTACCTGATTTTGGGTGGAACAATTAGCATAGGAAAGTTCAAGGTTTTCGTGCTAAACATCAGACAACAAAAAAATGCAAGTAAAACCTTTTGATAATTTTGCAACCATCTTGAGCTGAATTGATATTTTATATTTACAGTCTTCAATTTTCTAAATTTATCGCCTCTTCATTTCCCTATTTCTTGTTAGGGTAAAGTGAAGATCTACAAGTTGCCCCTGGAGAGTGAGATGGAGGAGGCGGTGAGACTGGACCCTAGATTGGGTCTATTTAAGTACCTCCCTCCCATGGACCCTCTTCCAATCATAGTCAGACTGTACGTCATCAGTGCTGTCAATCTGCATCCCATGGACACTAATGGAAAGGTAACAACATGAAAGCGTGGACTTGTGGCGCATCGGTAGTGATGGTGCCCAGCAATCATATGATTGCGGGTTCAAATCCCACGTGCACTGATATTTACAAGGCGAGCACTTGTAAAATATCCATAGCTTAGTTATCCTGTAATAAATAATTAACCTGATTAACAAAAAAAGATGGAAATTTTTCTTTTCCTGTGGCATAACATACACATAGAAAAAAAGAGTTTTTCATTATAGCTGTTTTTCTCGGTTTTGACAGGAATTGTTTCAGTCAATGAGCGCCAGACATTTTTTATGATTGTTTTTTGTTTTAATCAACTTTTATGCGCTATAGCTTAAAACGCCGTTTTAAAGACTTGTCTCTGAAATCCCGGAACATATAGACACAAAATTGTGCCCCTATCCAGTGCACAGTTTGGCCTCGTAATGCGGACAATACTTTTTGGACATTGATCATTTTATTAAGAGTAATGAACGTAGTGAAGACTCTTATATAGGTCTTGCTGATTCATCGTCGTAGCTTTTTCCATTTTTTGTTCTCAACAAAACTTCACAGAGTTTGGTGTTTAGGCCGATCCGTATCTGCAAGTGACATTGGGAAAACAATCGCAGAACACTAAGGAAAACTACGTCTCCAAAAATCTTAACCCCACTTTTGGAAAGTAAGTACAGAAACCATGAATCAGTTCTAATTAATGATTTAAGGGAACTTCAGTACTGATGTATTTAAGGAGTCTCTTTATTTCTAGGTTTGGTAGCTGCATGAAAAAACAGTTTCGAAGTTAAATTAATTCACAGTACTTGGGAAATATTACCTTAAGTACGAAGACCACTTAAAAACGGGGGGCGGTTTTTTGAAAAATTTTGAAAATTTTGCCGGCTTTTCTTTTTAGCTTGACCAATTTGATTTTCCGAGCTCTCCCAATATTGAAAAGGCGTTTTTAGGCATTTTTTGGAAAATTTTGACCAAAAAATTGCGCTTTTTCGGCGCGCGCTCCCCCCTCAAAACTATTCATAGAAGGCGCCTTTAGAAAAATTTTGAGGTTGTTCAGCAAACAATGGATGTCATAAAGTTATACTAAAGGGGGACCCTTTGAAAAAATTGACAACCAGAATTGAGAAGGGAAAAGAAGCAGTTGACCCCCCCCCATTCGGCACGCTACTGGTCAAATATCATTAATTATTTTTTATTATGGCTAAATTATTTAGTTTACATTACTTGTTCTGTTCAGGATGTTTGAATTCGAGTTCACGCTCCCCTTGGACAGTTTGGTGACAGTTTCTGTGTATGACTATGACATGGTGGGCAGCAATGACCTCATAGGTCAGACTGTGATTGACCTTGAGAACAGGTTCTACTCCAGACACAGACCTTCCTGTGGACTGCCGCAGTCATTCGACCTGTGAGTCATCAACATGCAGACATACAGACTGAATATTCAGTCGTTCAGTAAGCCGACTAAATAGTCAAATCAGTCTCCCTCAGTCTTAATGCTTGAGAACCATTTATCTGTGACGAAAACAAAAATTTGTGCCGTAGTCGATTTTTTGTTAAGAGCTGGGGGGGGGGGGGGGGGGGTGGCAACTTGGGTAGTTTTCTGATACTAGAAATATTATCTCAACTTCTAAATTAACGATAAGGGACCATGATGCCGATGGTCCTCGAACGATCGCAATTTTGATTAAAAAGAGAATACATGAACGTGCCACTAAATTTTACTAAGTTTTACCAGTTCTCCGAGCAAATCAAAAATTTAATTTTTCTTTTTGGTATTTAGATCACAAAAATACTATTTGCGAGATATTTCTAAAAAAAAATGGATGCATGATGCATCTTGTTTAAGTTAAAGGAAACTCTTAGATTTGAGAGCGTGCTTATTATTATTCTCATTCCGCGTATTGTTTTCTGCTGTAGCTTTATACCAAAATTCGGTCTTCAAATGAATTAGTGATAGGACAAATTATCATTCATTTTAGCTTCGGGTACAACAAGTGGCGAGACGCGGACAAACCCACTCAGATCCTGGCACGACTCTGTCGAGACCTTAAGATTGCAGAGCCAGTCTACAAAGGCAACAGAGTCCGAGTAGCAGGCAAAGTGTTCAGAGCATCCAACAAAATCATGGACGAGATGGGAACGACTCAAACCACGAATGAACACATAGCGCTAGAGGCACTGAGGAACTGGTACACTGTGCCCAAATATGGGTTCCATTTGGTGCCGGAACACATCGAAACCAGACCGCTGTTCAACCCGGACACCCCTGGAATCGAACAGGTATAAAATAGCCTATTCAAATTTCATAACTTTCCACAAATAAAACGCAATGCAAAACCAACAAAGGGAATTAACCAGTACTTATAGCCATAAATGGTTATAAATTTAAGCTCAGCTTTAAATTTGCTCAAGTTGACCAAATTACTTTGCCAAAACACAGCATTTAAAACTAAATTTTCTGAGCCACTGACAGAATGTTGAAAAAAAAATCCCAAAATTCCGTTCCCGTTAGATTATGCTAATTAAACTTCTCTGATAAGTGAAGACTTGATTCATATTTTACCATATATTTATTTCTTGCTCAAAAAAATGGCCAGAAAACAACTTGACTTGGTTGATTTGTTTGGTTTTTTTTCAGGGTCGTTTGCAAATGTGGGTGGATCTCTTTGCTAAGGACACTCACGTACCCAAACCAGTAGACATCGCCCCCCGAATTCCCAAGGGGTAAGTATTGTTCTCAAATTTGCTGTTTTTTGCTTCGATGTTGGCCGTTTTTGAGCCCAAAAAGGAAATCACGAATTCAAAAGAGAAATATCAAATGGATAAAGCCATAAACTCTTGACTGTTCGTTATTTTTCCAAGTTCGTTGTTTTCATTTGAGATCTATTCGGCTGTTGGGTCATTTGTGCTTTGTTGCATTGTGCAGTTATGAGTTGCGTGTGATTGTGTGGAATACTGATGACGTGATTCTGGAGGAGGAGAATCTGTTTGGAGAGAGAATGTCCGACATCTACGTCAGAGGGTACGACATCACAACTTACAAATTATTTAATAGACTCTGATAATTGACTAATACTCAATCCTCAGGTTTAAAACTAAACTCAATAGATACTCAAATAATTAATATTATATTTAGCCCACAAGGAGTAGAATTGTTAGAAAAGGTTAGAAAGTACAAAAGCTATCTCTCGCTCCCTTCGATAAAAAATTGGAGGGTAAGAAACCGAAAAGTGATTAATTAGATCAAGTTTCGGTTCTATCCAGGTGGATCAAGGGTCCCAACTTGGATGCCCAGTCGACAGACATCCACTACCGATCCCTGACAGGAGAGGGCAACTTCAACTGGCGATTCGTCTTTCCCTTCGACTACCTCGCAGCAGAGGAGAAGTAAGTAGAACTTACTACACATTTTAAATGTAGTGCAAAATCAGCACAGAGGCGAAGCGGAGCTTCGCGCCACTTGCGATACAAAAATATTTACAGAATTACAGCGTATAAAACTTATTTTAAAAAACATCGAAATTTTTTGCATTTTACAAAAAACAGTTATAATCAACCCATTCTCTGACGCTTATGACTCATAAAAGCACACCTGGTAACCTCAAACCAGGTGAATTAACGATTTGCGAAGGAGGAAAATCGGAACCTTTTTCTACAACGTAGTACTGGCATATATAATTTCTTTCTAGCTGTTGCAAAAAGATCGAACCAAAATTTAAAAAACTTCAGGAAAAGGCAATGTTTTTTGCTTCGTTAAAATTTTTTAAATAAATTGACATTGGAAAATGATTTTTTTTTTTTTAAAAAGTGAAAACATGAGAAAAATTTGAAACAATTTGCAAAAAAAATTGAAATAATTTGCATTACTAAAAGATGCTAAAATCGCAAGCAAAATCCAAGCTGTGGCAGCTAAGTTGACAAAAACTGAGCAGACAACAAAAAACAGGGCCTGGCCGGTTTCGAACCACATTCTTTTTTTTGTAGGCATGTACGTGACATCTACGCCACATAAGCGGATTAACGTTTTGATTGTTATTAAATATGAACCTATGTAGGTGTCAAATGGTTGGTGATTCAACTAGTTAGTAAACTGAAAAAAAATCTTTATTCCCACTTAACAACGCTAGCTAAATGCAAGCGTAAGCAAGAATAGCCTGTTCTTGCGGAAGTAGCACAGTATGCTCCGAACAAATCATTAAAAGAAAAAACTACACGAAAAGTTTTCTTTTAAATTTCAAATTAGTGTCGCTTTTTATGCATGGCGTGATGAGAGAAAAATACAAACGCAACGAAAGTCTGTGATATGGACATAATCCACAACAATTGTCTTCGAAAATGAAAAAAACTCAAGAACTGAAGAAAAAAATTACAGATAAATTTTTTTTAATTTTTTTCTTTTTTTGATAGCCAGAAAATTGCTACAGGAAGCTTAAAAAACTAGTTTATTTAAAATAAGGCCGAGTTTTTTTCACTATTTGAAAGAAAAAAATAAGTCTTTATAAAACCTTCGCGCTCCCTTTACTCGTTCCAAATTCTAAACTTCAAAATTTTCTAACCCGATCGACTTGACAGTGGGCAAACTCTTTGAAGTTTTTTTGTAAAATTTTGTTCGACTCACGACTGAAAGGATTTCAACATATTATATCACTTTGCTCACTCCGATAATTATTTGTGGTACCTGATTGTGGTACCACAAATAATTATCGTAGTGAGCAAAGTGATATAAAATGTTAAAGTCCTTTCAGTCGTAAGTCGATTAACATTTTAAAAAACTCCAAAGAGTTTGCCCACTGTCAAGTCGATCCGGTTTAAAAATTTTTAATTTTAGAATCACTAAATTTAACAAACATCGACATATTTCGCATTTTTCAAAAAAATTCAAACTAGTAAAATACAAAAAAAAACAGGTAAGATCAACCCATTCTCTGACGCTTATGACTCGGAAAAGCGCACCTGATAATCTCAAATCAGGTGAATGAAAAACTTACGAAGGAGGAAAATCGAAATTTTTTCTACACCGTAGTACTGCCATATATAATTTTTTTCTAGCTGTTGCAATAAGATAGAACCAAAATTTAAAAAACTTCAGGAAAAGGCAATATTTTTTGCTTTGTTAAAAATTTTTTTAAATAAATTGACATAGACAAATGGTTTTTTTTCTAAAAAAACTTAAAACATGAGAAAAGTTTGAAATAAGTTGCAAAAGAAATTTGAAATAATTTGCGTTTATACTAAGAGATGCTAAAATCGCAAGTAAAATTCAAACTGCGGCAGCTAAATCGACGAAAAGTGAGTAGAAAACAAAAAACAGGGCCTGGCCGGATTCGAATCACATTCTTTTTTTGCAGGGATGTGCGTGACCTCTACGCCACATGTGCGGATTAACGCTTTGATTGTTATTAAAAATGAACCTATGTAGGTGACAAATGGTTCGTGATTCAACTAATTAGTACACTGAAAAACCGACCACATCATTAACAGAAAAAACTACACGAAAAATTTTCTTTTAATTTTCAAATTAGTGTCGCTTTTTATGCATGGCGTAATGAGAGAACTATACGAACGCATAGCAAGTCAAAGACTTGGACATAATCCACAACAATTGTCTTCAAAAAATGAATAAAAACCCAAAAACTGAGAAAAAAAAATTACAGAAAAATTTTTCTGAATTTTTGTAAAAATTATTTCTTTTTAAAAATTTTTTGATAGCCAAAAAATTGCGTAAAGAAGCTTTAAAAACTAGTTACTTTGGAGTAGGACCGAGTTTTTCGCTACTTAAGAGGAAATTTTTTTATTTGTGGTACCTGATTTTACCGTAGAAATAAAAAAACACCCAAAGACAAAATTCTTGCCTATTTTCAATGGTAGGAACAAAAAGCTGCACCTCACTAAGATTCCACCTGCGTTGCATTACCAGATTTATTTTGCTAGCCTCGATTTGATTTTCTTGCAGCTTCAATAAACTCAAACTCAAATGCAATTTGAATTCTTCACAACGTCTGAAGGGAAAGTTGTGGCGACACTGCCGCAAATAGCCATTCAGCAACATTGTTGTTATACTATTTCAAACATTCGCATTCTTTTCAAGGCACGAAATATCTAGTTTTTTCCATACCCGTCACATTGTTACTGCCTAAGCTGTTGAAATGGCCCTTAAATGATTTTTGGGTGACTTTGTATCGGGGCTTTTATTGCCTCTTATTAAAGGAATTATATGTAGACTTTTCTTATGAAGCAATCTTTACAAAATTAGAGATTTTTGTGACTAGATAAGGTCGCATCATTAGAAAAGCCCTCGTGAAAAATTCCCTCAAAAAGATTCCAAAAAAACCGATACAATGTCACCCCAAATGATTTAAGCGCCATTTAAATAAGTGAAAGCCAGTGAAACTGTTCGAACGTTTTTATTAGATACTTTTTTTCGTAAAATTTCCAACTCTCATAAAAAATCATTTTGTTTTTAATACTGATTTCGAGTTGATAATTTTTCCGAGTAAATAAAAAACTTAAGCTGTTGATAATTGATTTTTTCGACCATATCGTGATTTTTGATCTTAAAAGTGTTGACCTAGGTTGGTGTTCCGACAGAAAGAGTCCACATTTGCGATGGACGAGACAGAGTTCAAGATGCCCCTGAGACTTCAGCTGCAAGTGTGGGACGCAGACGCATTCTCGTCAGACGACATCCTAGGTCAGTTCGTCAGTTTTTCAATTGGACAACGCCTTTTGAAAATTCGCAATTAAGCAATTAATGCCCAAAATAAATGCCACACTTAATCCACAAGCAACCCAGGTTTAACGCTAACAGCAGAAGACTGAACAGAGAATGTTTAATCTAATTTAATTCAGCAAAAAAAAAAGCTTTTTTGGGTCGCTTTTGCATCGCTGGCCTGATTTGACCTTGAGCTTCACCAACTCAAAAACAAATTTCATACTATTATTTTTCAACTTGGACTAAAAAAGAGTTATTCCTCATTATGTTGATATGATTTGTGGTATTGCAGGTTCGCTGACCCTCGACTTGAACCGGTTCCCGCGAGGAGCCAAGAGTGTGCGCAGGTGTACCCTGGATCTGCTGAAGACAGACGGAAGTGTGAGGCAGATGTCCGTCTTCAGGAACAGGAGAGTCAAGGGCTGGTGGCCATTCACGCGCAAGAACGACGACCAAGAGTTCGAACTCACTGTACGTCAAAATTCCTTAGTCAGTTATGACCATTACACGAAAACAAATTAGTTGTCTGAAAAACTCACATCGTTGAGAAGAACTAGTTTTTTCAGCAATCCAATTGACTTAAATTTAAATCGGATTCGCTCTCCTTAGTAATTGCATCGTAAACCACTGTCAGATTTTACCTTCTAAAGTAGACAACAGTAACTAGACAATTTAAAAAGCAAATCAGGGTCAAATCGGCCAAAATTAAACCACAGTTGCGAAAAAACAGATACTGAAACAGAGCAAATTTTCTGCCCACAAATTTCTGCCAGTTAGGTTTTTAAAAAAAGAAAATTGACTCATTAAGTATCAAAAGCAACTGCTGCAACAAAAATTTCTTCGAGTTATCATTGAAAAAAATATAGAATCTTTTCAAAAATGAATGATAAATTTGCATATTCAAAAATAATTTCAAATTAAATAGTTCCCCTTAATTTCAAATGAAAAACTTTTTGTTGAGCTGAATCTTTTTTTTTCGCTAAAATGGAAAGAAAAAAAGTTAAGACCCGTTTTCATTGAAACTGACATTATTTTTTAATCACTAACTCGACTGAAAGGGCTTTGCTCTGATAACACGATCGATTTTCTTTGAGTATTGTTTTCCAACCTGAATTTACGTGGAAAAAAAAACCTAGTCCGTATTTTATTCCGTTTTGAAAATTTCAGAACAACAATTAAATGCTCTCAAAACTTCAGAAAATTATTTGTACCATCTCAAGTTTTTCTTTCGATTGCGTAGGCAGAGTTCCGGGATCGTTCTGCAAGTATCAGAGAACGTTTCGTCCAAGCTGACTTAAGGAAATACACTTTTTGAAATTTCAAGTTTCCTATTTCTTTTTGAAGAAAGGGCGACAAAATCAGGCGAAAAATGAAGAAATAGTGGTTAATACTAGCAGCAAAACTCTCTGAAGTACTTTTAAAACGGGGTAAAAAAACATCGAAAAACTACGGGATTTGAATTGATCCTCAGATTTTGGGCACTCCAGTTTTCCAGTTAACTGCCCTACAAAAATGAGACACAAACGCTAACAGAATTTTACTAACATATGCTTTTGAAATGCTAAAGCTTAAATAGGCTTAAACATGATTAAATTAAAACTAGCGTGTAACGCACCTCCGGTACTTCAAATTTATGACAATTCAAAAAATCGCATATAATGGAAATCAGATCTGCATCATTCGAATGAACTCTGACAACATCCAATTACAGGGTTGGTAATATCAAATTACGTAAAGTTATTCAAGTTTTTTTAATTCAAATTTTGAAAAATCATAAAATTTTGTGAATTTTGTATATCTAAGTTCGTTGAAAATTTTCAAAACGACAGAAAAACGTCACATCTCAGAACTAAAAGCAATTGAGCCATCAAATTTTGACGTAAAATTTGCAGCTCCTGAGAGCATTCTGAAATCCCCCAATTTTAGGGTTAAAAATTCCAAATTTTGAAAAAAATGATTCAAATTAGAGTTTTCTGAAAAATTATTTGAAAAAAAATTACAAAAAACGTCATATCTCTAAGATTTAAGCAGTCATATTTGAAAAACAAACTTGCAACCCCTAAGAGTGCCCTGACAAAGCCTTAATATAAAGAAAGTAAGTTCAAATTTTTTTGAAAAAAGTTATATCTAAGTTCTTTGAACATTTAAAAAAAACACTACAAACGTCTTATCTCGGAAAGAAAAAGCATTTGATCAGTCGCATTCGGACGCAAAAAATGCAACATGAAACTCCTAAGAGTACTATCACAGTACCCAACTAAAAGGTTGAGAATTTCAAATAATGTGAAATTTTCAAAGTCAAAGTTTTCTGAAAAATTAAAAAGAAATCACGTCATATCTCAAAAACTACAAGAAATTGAGCACTCATAATTGGAGGCAAGATTCTTAAACCCTGAGACTCTGAGAATATTCATACAGCCTCCACTACAAAAATGGGATTTTCAAATTGAAAGAGAAAAAAATAATCTGAGTTTTCAGAAATCGTTTTGGAAAAATTACAAAAAGGTATATCTCTAAAACTACAAGGATTTGAGCAGTCATATTTGGATAAAAATTTGCAACTCCGAGTATTTCCTTTACATAGCCTCACTATAGAGATGAGAACTTCAAAATTTGTGAAATTTTCTATATCTAAGTGACTACATCTCGAAAACTACAAGGACTCGAGCAGTCATATTCAGAGGCAAGATTTGCAACCCCTGAGAGTACCCTCACTGTTTCCAACTACAGGATTGAGATCTTCAAATTTTTTGAATTTTTTTAAATCGAAGTTTTTTTGAAAATTTTTGAAAAAATCATAAAAAACGTCTTATCTCAAAAAATACAAATATTTGAGAAGTGAGGTTTGGAAGCAAGATTCGCAACCCCTGAGAGTACCCTGACAGCACTCAACTACAGAGCTGAGAATTTCAATTTTTTGAAATTTTTCAAACTTAAATTTTCTAGAAAATTAAGAAAAATCTCGAAAATTGCCGTATTTTGGGAACTACAAGGATTTGGTTAGTCATATATTGAGGGCAAAACCGCAACACCTGGGGAAGCCCTGGCAGCATCCCAATATTGCGTTGCTAATTTCAGACTTGGTGAAATAAACACTGAATTCAAACTGGAAAATCGGAAAAAAATCTTAACCATTGCAATATACGATATAGCTTAAACGTGAAAAAATTCGTTTGTAAATCATGTAAAAATAATACGTTGAAAAAGCTTAAAAATGACGAGATAGTGAAGCCCCCGCATTTAAATATACAATAGATATAACAACAGTGCCAACGATTGAGCACTTTTATTTGCGACTAAGGTTGGAAAAAAATCTTCGTAATACTACACTTCGCTTCGCCTGTGTAATTATTGTACCGTTGCATGAAATAAATAGCTTTCTTCGGTTCAATTGATGAATTAAGCATGCATTATTGTGTTAGTGTATTAGGATTCAAATGTCGAAGCACATGTAATGCAATAGTCAATTCGGCCTCCTGTTGAAAAATGCCACATCAGCAGCGCTTATATTCGCGACTTAATGGAAAAACAAAACGTAGCCTTGTAGTATCACACCAAGCTTCTCTTGTATAACTAAAGCTAAAATTGTATTAGCATTGAACTTGGAAGGTACAGAATTTATTCGAGTCTAAAAAAACGAAAAAAAAAAAACAAATTATTTCTCGCCACTGGGACAACTGTTCCCAAATTATTAGTATCCCAATCACGGCCAATATGGCTTTAAATTCTTTCTTCAAAGCTTTCTTTGAGGTAGTCTAAAGTCGCTGGAAAAAAAAAACATGACTTAAGCCGTTCATCCTTCCAGTCCTTTTCAGTGACGTCGTTGGAGCATAACTTAAAAATCTAATCGTTCATTCAAGCGTAAAACGACTAAATAACTCTGCGTTGAAACGACAATAAAATCCGTCAATTTTCAGGGCAAAGTGGAAATTGAGTTGCACTTGGTAACAGTGGAAGATGCAGAGACCACCCCCGTTGGGTTGGGACGGGAACCCCCCGTTCCACTCACACCTCCCAAGTAACCATAGCAAACACTTGATTTTTCTAATCTTATCACAGGTTGTTTGACGCAGTCACTTTGGTGTCAATGCTTTTCTTTCAAAAACTTTCTGCTTTTGAGATTGACTACTATTATCAATCTTGAAAGAGAATTTTCAGCACTTTCGGTCAATGATTCACGCTGGTGTCAAGATAACTGCAGCTGCACTGACCCCTTTCAGTTTAAGGATTCATGAAATAATGAAGGTTTCTATTAAATCTTATCTTATCTCGAAATTTCACGACGCAGAAAAATCCTTCAATTTTTTCTAACATTACAAAAAACTTTAATGGCTTTTTAACAATATTTGGACTGTTTTGACACGCTGGGAATAGTTTCTATCCTCAAAAATCCTGCAGAAGGTTTTCTTTCCTCTTGTTAACCTAGAAAGCCATGTCACCGTTTCTTTCTAAAATAATTCAACTCTTTCCGGGTCATTCAATCAGCTCACGGGTAGTAGGGTTCTTTTATCTATTGCAGGGAAAACTGGAAGCGGAGATGCATCTCCTGACTGCCGAGGAGGCTGAGAGAAACCCAGTCGGCTTGGGGCGAAATGAGCCCGAGCCACTGTTTAAGCCCAAGTAATGTCCAGACTAACACCTAACAATGTCCAACTGTCACTAACTGGCTAACTCTCTCTACCTATTAGACATAAAGATCGCTACTAAAATCAATTTGCTCTTTTATGTTTGAGTTGGATGAAAATCTATAGGATTTCATTAACGGGAAAACCTGCTAATAAATGTGTCATCTTTACAGAAAATGTGCCCGTAAACTGGTGATGGAAATTACGGCGGTACTAACTAGGGCAAATTCGGGTTCGACATATTGAATAGAACTGCTCTGAAGCAATGTATACTTGTTGTTATAATCCTTCTTATGTTGCGGTTGCGTTCGTATTTATGTTTGGATCGCTTAACGGCTAATTAAATTCAAACTACCGCATTCAATACGATATATCTGGGCAAGTTTAGCCCTAATTTCTCTCTGAGAAACTGTGTTGAAATTAGACCCTCGTGTTTTTAGTCGTCCTGACTCTACCCTGATGTGGTTCCTGCAACCCCTCAAAAGTCTGGCATTTATGCTGTGGCGCAACCACAAGTGGCTCATCATAAAGCTAGTGCTGATTAGCCTGCTGGCTTTCGTATTGGCCCTTTTCATTTACTCTACTCCAGGTAACTCTTTTGACAATGTGAGTGCGCGGATCATACATAGACACGCGCACTCACACATGCACAAAAAGCGTCTTTAACTTCATGCACTAAAGGCGTCCGAAAATATTATGTTTTTCTATGTTCTCTAATTCCAAAAAATACTTTCCTTAATTAAATTCTCCAGAATTCGCAGTTACATTTTACACAGAGGCGAAGCTGAGCTGCACACCACTTGCGATACAACACAAAAATTATTTTTACAAAACTAGACAGAAAAAAGTGAAAATGTTGAAAAAAAACAGGTTTCACGTCTCGATTAAAGATAACTAGGCGCCCAGCTAAAGCTGGAGTTAGGTGTTTTGATAACTGCGTTATACTGATTGTGCTGAAATTTCAAAATTTTGACTTTTCCCAAAACCTTACTTGTTTCTCTAAAAGAGAAGGGTGAAAATTTATGAGAAATTGAAATCTTCCCGAAAACAAACATTTTTCTTACAAAAATTAAGGAGACGCCGCTTCATTCGATTGAACCCTTCAGCTCAGATTTCACGAGTACTTTAAAAGAACAGTAAAAAATTTTCAAAAAACGGTCAAAAGTTCAAAAACTTGACGTTCCGAAATCAATTACTTTTTTTCTTCAACACGGTCGTAGCCGCGGTAGCGTGATGATTTCCAAACACGATTGGCCATTTAACCTTAGAATGGGCGGGATTGACCAATTAAACTGAGAAGTTTCCAAAAAACGAGCACGTTATTAAAAACTTCTTTTCCGAGAATCATAGCTTTAATTGTGAAACATTTTCATAGCTTTAGTTGTTAAAAACTTACTTGCGCGAAACGGCTTATACAGGAGAGATAAAACCAACCTGTTATTTCAATTGAGTGCCAAAACTCAGATTACAGAGTTTAGTTTTCGAGAAATAGTTAAACAGGTAAACAAAGGTAAACAAAAATTATTCTTTTCCGTAAAAAAAATTGGGTTTAATAGATTATGCAGGGGTCCTCCCACATCAGACTTTTTCGATTGAATCCAAAAACTCAGTTTTGAGAGTGCTGTTTTTTTAGAACCAATAAAAATGTCAAAATTTGAGTTTTCCGAGGGCCATAACTTTTTGTATAAAAAATTTGGTCGTAGTCAGTTAAATGGGGGACTTCCTCACAAAACCGTTCTTAGGATTGAAGCAATAATCTTAGATTTGGGCTAGTAGTTTTTGAGAAAGTTCAAAAAGAATAAAAAATGGTCAAAACATCAATGAATTGTTTTTTGCGAGGGCCCTTACTTTAGAAAAAAAAGGTTGGGCTTAGCTGATCATGCAGGGGCGCTTCCCACAACCAGTTGTTTCGATTGGACCCAAAACCTTACCTTGCATTTGAATTTATTATGAAGCAAGCAATTTAGAAAAATTATTTTAAAATTGACAACCGGCAAGTACGCCGACCAAAGTTGGGATGAAATCTATGAAGCCGACAGTAAAATCAATTTAATTCTGAAAAAGTTCCCAGTAACAAACATTGCAGCAATTGATTCAACTGATTTTGTTTAACTAGTTGTTAACAGGAAAAGATATCTTCATTCCGATTTGATAAAGCCTGCTAATAGCAAGAGTAATAATTTTGCTTTTCTATAAATGTTCATTTGTTACTTTAACTTATAAAACTATTTTTGTTACAGGTTATATGGTCAAGAAAATCCTTGGAGCCTAGGATGTGAGACGAAAGAAAAAAAATGATTCGCAGAACAAATGAAATTCGCAAATAAACATTGTACATATTAACATTTTTTACACATTCACATACTTATTAGGACTCATGAAGCTAAATTTTAGACTGTTGTTTCATTTTACATACAACTCACTAATGGCAATGATATAATTTTGAAATAAAAATATTTCGCAATGTAAGGCCAGCTTAATGCAAACGTCTCTAACCAGAAAATATTTGCAACAATTTGGAAGAGCCTCAAAAATTGGCGAAAAGATGTCAACGTAATCCTATGACAATTTTATTGACATTCAAATCGGATGACAACAACACGTGATACATCAAAAAATGACCACTTTTACCGAACAAGGTTAAAAGTTTTTTATTTGGGCCAAAAAATACTTAATTATTGTAATCCGAATCTCCTTCTAATTGATCTTAGCTCAAGTAATCTATACAGCATCTACATTTCAGCGTAATTTTTGTCTCGACTACTAAGTAGAACACGATTTGCTAGCTGCTAGTAACCTAGCAGTGATATTTCGACTCAGTTTTTAGCTGCCAGTTGTTTGTGTCTATTCTTGTTGTTGTCGTACTGGTCACTCTTTTCCGACACCCAATCAGAGGAGAGGACTGTGTCTTCGAGTGCTTGCCACTGTCTGTGATCGAATTCTCCATTCAACATGAGCCCGCGCATTCTCTTTCTATTAACAAAAAGCACTTCCGTTTTTATTAACTGCTGCTAGGTAAATAGAACGACAAGAAATTAAGACGACAAATAAGCGTTATTACATGCAAAATGAGCAGTTCGAAGTTAAGCGGTTTAAATTTCTCAGAAATACAATTGTGGAGAATTGCGTGTAGCGTCGCCTTAAAGTTCCATCAAAAACAGTTGTTATCTAAACGGGTGTCGCCTTATTTGCCAGTCACCCTATTAACCGTTCAAATTGCGAAGACTGAAAATGTCCAGTAGAGAATATGTACTTGAATAAAGAAGTTTGAAGCATCAATGAGGATTCATTGATCCTTGACTGAACCATTTCAACTGATCGTCATTTGGACTAACCTAATTTTTTTAACGAGACACATGAACTAGATTGCTGGTCTTCACAAACAAACCCCACTTGTTTCCATTGTGGTTACATTTCATCGTTTTGCAAAACACGCAATTGGGAAACTACTTACTATCTCATACAAAGATAGCCAATTGCGTGAAAAAAAATTAATTAATGAACTCAGGGAAACTTAAATCATGACTGAAATATAAAACATAGCCAACATACAGTTGGAAAAGAGTCAATGAACGCTAGTAAAAAGAAAAAAATAGATTTGTTTTTTGAAAAAATATCAACTTTCGAATTTCAAAGAAAAAATAGATGTCCTTAAAGGTCTTTGAATTTCTAGAACAATTATTGATTGGATTTTTTTTGGATAAAATTAACCCAATTTGAGAAAACTGGATCAAAAAGTAAAATTTTTATATCGCTGAGAAACCTGATAAGTTAAATTCCACTTTCGAAACTAGAAGTCGATTACGTTTTTCGAGACCTTTACACTTTTGCTGTTCCATATTAGAGTTTGCTTTCCTTTTACTAATGCATACGAGCTGGACTTCGAAAGAAATCAAAAGTCAAAACCGCGAAAAAAAAATGTGAGCCTGCACAAATTTCAAGACTTTTTCTGCTTAAAAGAATAAATCATCGCGGCCTATATAAGAGTCTGTACTACGTTCATCGACTCCTAATTACAACCATATGATCTAAATATGGTATTTTCGTTCATCAGCACTTGAAAAAGTTTCTAGAAGTTTCCTAAGTCGGGAAGACGTGTTCTCACTGGGATAAACGTTTCAAAGTCCCACCCAACTCAACTCATTCAGATGAAAAATGACGAACTAAGAAAACAAAAGAAAAATCAAAAGGAAAATGACACAAACCGCTAATTACCTTTTCTCTGAAGTTCGAAAACATATTACAACTTTAAAACAGAACTTTCACAAGATCAGGTATACATTACTATGAAAGGGGAAAAGTCCTTCATGAATTGAATATAATTTCATCTAAAAATAATTTTGAGAAAATAATTTAGAATTTTGTCGAAGTTGACCTTTGAATATTTCAGCTAAGCTGAAAATATTTGATCGGTCAATAATGATGAACAAAATCTCCAACGCTTTTTCGAAAGAACATCCACTGTTTCATAAAAACCCCACATCAAAAAATATAAATCCACACTGAAAAGAGCGATACTAAATGCCAGTAATTCCGTTAAATGCTAATGTCTTTAAATCAATATCATAAGAGAAGCAGAGTAAAGCATGGCAGGTGTGCTGCAGCAGTGGTGGCTGACCTTGACTCGAAGCGCACTTTGCTGTCAATGTCTCGCTCGGGGAATTTGATCCACTCCCTCGATCCCACCCCCTGTCTACCCTGGGGCACCAACACCTCCTTCTGCTCAACTTCGCCATCATGGCCACTAACCACGTGACCTGAAATGAAATGCAAAGTTTTACTTCAAAGAACGAGTCAATTTGGTAAATTCTGCCATTTATTCCGGTTGGAGCGCCAGAGCATTCAGACGAATTGCTTCGAGACAAACGTAAAAGCATGCTGCTTTGCTGAGCTTACTACTCCATTTGGCTTAAACTTGTACGAAAATGCACATGAGTCCAAAGTTCCTTCACAACTTCGATGATAGGAACAATAGAACCATTTTTCGGACATTTTTAACATTTGTTACAAATGACTTAATAATCGGTTAAGAAAAACGTTTCATTTGAAAAATCAAAACGTTTCTTCTTGACGATGGGAAACTAAAAGGACAGTTAAAAATTCATGTATGTGCATTAATGCGGGCAGTCCCCCATTTTATTATGTATTCTATATCGCAAATAACTACTCCGATTGTCCCGGTCGATTAATGTTACCTGTTTCGCATCGCATTATGGTGTCCTCCTCATTTTTGCGGAAGGTCTGTTGCGAGACTAGAGGGTCCACACTTCTGTCATATCGAACTTTGTTCTGAAACAAAAACATGAAATCATCTAAGTCTACCATTAGCGAAGGCTAGTCAGCTAATGCGTTGGGAAGACTTGATGTGATTTAAGTACAACCTTGTCGTAGGTTTTGTCAAAAGTGACCACTTTCATTGGATCGTACTGCTCAACATCAAACGTCTCCAGAAACACGTGGCCCTAAAACGAATAACTATTGCTTGCACTGTACAAATGAAGACTTAATGGAACCATTATCCCATTAAAGGTAAAATTTGTTTATTAATAGAAGGAAACTTTAAATGTCTCTTGTACTTTTCAGACTAAAGAAAACAGTTTTTTTTTTTAAAAGTCATATCGATTTAACCTCATTATACTTCATACGAACCAGAACATAACCTTCCCCTGAAATACTGAAAACAATAAAACAACCAGGCAAAAAACTTTTTCTATAGAGATGTACTATAAACAAGGCGTAAACTAGTCAAGACGAACATGTTTTAAAGTTGAAACGAAAAAAGCAAGCGCTGCTCCTCAACGAAACAACCAAAACATGACGACAAAAAGTGTCACGCACCAGTTGGTTTCTGTGCTGGAGGTAGTTGTCGAACTCCTTCAGTCGCACCTCCCTCAAGTCGGGGTAGTAGCTACCACCCATGATCTGTTCTATCTGATCAACCATTGGTTCATACACTCTGTCGTTCCATTTCTTGTGCAGAATCTCCTTCTTGCGCTGCTGAGTCAGTTTACGGTGACTCAGAAAATTGTTAATATCCTGGAAATTTAACTCAGTATAAGAATCACATTAGGGCAAATTAACACTTTAAAATTAGATATTTACATTCGCTTATTTGATCAAATTCAGAATAATTCTTCAAGCATCGGAAGATGTTTTATTCCTTCAACTGATCACACATAAAGCAAATCGTCAATTATCGTTCTATGAAACAAAAACTCCAACATACCTTGACAAAAGTGTTTTCAGTTTCCAGGAGAGGGTCGTAGACGTTCCTGGTTCGGATCAGATCGCTATCAGCTCTCTCCTAAATAAAACGATTGGTTAAGCTTCAAATTACCTATTTGATCTAGAGAACACTTTTACACTAGTCTTTCAACTTCAGCTCTAAATGATTTCACTGATATATTTCCATTAATTACTCCTGACTCTGAATTGTTTTTCGTTGTGCTTCATGATCCGATTGTATCTAACGTCTATTTTTCAATTATACGAAGGAAAATTTTTGTCTCAAAACTGAAAAAATCAGTTTCATTAGAGCAAAATAATCATTCTTTACACTGCTTTTTACACTGAGATAATTATAACCTGAATTCCTTTGATGCTTTTTTCATTGATCCAATTTCGGATTTTTTCTGTGTTGTCAAGTGTAGATTGCGTGGAAGACTGACGGAGATCGAATTTCCGAGTATCTTCTCTCTAAAAATAAGCACAGATGAAATCCGGTATTCGCCAATATAGCATCACAAAATGCACTCACAAACCTCTATGACATTTGGCTCAAACTGTACAGAATTCATATCATAACTGAAGTATCGAAACACCGATGTTGTATACGAAAAAGAATCGGTTTAATGGCATGTATATTGTCGACGATGCAACTAAATAACTGCGGTAGCCTCCAGGGAAAGCTAAGCTGCAGGAAAATGAATGCATGGCACAGAGTCGACGTGGCTGGCTTCGCGCTTCCCACATTTCTTTAGATTTCAACTTTTTTTAATTTTTAAAATAAATCACAAGGCTCTGAAGAAACCAAAATAATCTTCGAAAGTAGTTTTTATCAATAATAGTGCCCAGTACACAGGCGGGGTTAGTAACCTGTATTTCGAGGGAGATTCTCTGCTTAAGAAAGCTACCTGCCTGGATTCCTCGGTACACATGCTCAAGTTTTTACAGAGCTTGCTTAGAAAAATCACTGCTGCTGCTGGCTGAACCCTGAACTTCAAAGGCTATTGGTTTTTTAGAAGGTCAAATAAAACTTCCGTCATGATTGGTTGAAAATGATATCCATCATTCATTAAATCTATATTTGTCGGTTGTGCAACCTTCCGCCTCGTTTGCCGCCGTTCCAGGTTTAAAAACCGAGCCGGTGCTTATTCTACTTGGAGCTAAGGAGTCAACTACTATTTTATCCCACTGAGCTGCCTACCAACAGCTCATGGGACAAGCGTCGCAATGCCTGGTTGCTTCTGATCTGTACTGCGGTGTCGTGTCTTTAAAACAAAAAGAAAGCCAGCAGAGGAGAAACTTTGCCTTTTAAGGACGAATTTGAATGCCTAGAGATACTTCTTGCATCTTTTCAAAAGATAGAGTAGGCTACCCATATTCGGTAACGTCTTGTCTGCAGACGCATCTATGTTTTCCACATATTTTTGAACATAAGCGGAACCCAATAGCGATTCTAAGCAGCCGATTAAAAAATTCCAATTCATCATAAGCAAGCAAGGCAAGCTAGTCGACAAATTTGAAGTGAAAGTCAATGTTAAAAAAAATGAGACAAAAAAGATGGAAAGAAACTATACCTAAAAATTTCAAATCATTTTTGTCTCTACTTATTTCCTTATAGAAATTTTGACCTTCACGAGCATTGAAATACAGTAGGACAACTAAGTCGACAATACTTGGTTGAACGATCGTAGTGCTGAAAACGTTGGCAAAAAGAAAAAAAAAACAATTTAATTGCGAGATGAAAACATTTTCAAACAGACAAATGTGTGCAAAGCTCTTGCTTTCAATTGTAGTTTAACAAAAAACAAAGGGAAACAATAGTAGCCCGTTTTTTATTCCTTGTATGATGAGACAATCTGAAAAAAATTGCCTATTCGATAGTAGGAGTAAAGTAAAGTAATCTCCACATTTTTTTCTCAAAAAAAGTAGAGCAAAAAAAAACAGGTTCACAAAATGTTTTAAAAATTTCCTCAAGTTTTTGGTACTCAATTTATTTGAATTAATTTCACTTTTTCGAAACTAAAACTTTTCATCTTCATTTGAATCGTTACCATGCATCGTTAGCATGAACCGTTAGCATGAATCGTTAGCATGCTCGCTCGCTTCATTCTTTCAAAATGTAAGATTCGCCCGTATGTACAAACGGAAAAAAATAAAGCCAGGTTCTGAATCGACTGACTAGCGTCTAAACACAGCTTCACATGCTTTTAACCTTCTCTATCAAAGCCAGTTCTATGTGTGGTTCCTTAACATCGGGTCGACAAATCATTTTTATTTTGGGCTATCGGCGAGATCGCGTAAACTAACTTAGGTACATGCAAAAATTGAGCTCATGGCTGGGTCTCAGTATCCCCAGACCACGAAGTCACTCCTAAAAACAGGGTTCTTACTTAATATCAAATTACTTTTGTTTTTGTTCAGTAGATAAAAAAATCATCATATCCATCGAGGATGGATCAACCTTTTCCCTCAACTCTTAGCTTCTCATCATCTGAAAACGAAATTTGACGTTAGTTAATTAAATTCAGGACATATCCGGAAGTTAAAAAATGTTAAAAATATAGTTTCAGTCTTTTCCCGAGACTCTTCCGGATTCTCGAATCCGGACGAAGAGCGGTCTTGTTGTCCTACTGGAAGGGTAGTAAAAACCTCCCGATACCCCTCCGAATTCCAAGGAATTGCTCGGTAACGATTAAACAGCTACAATCATTACAATTCGGACAATCTCAATCGTAATTTCAATAAAGCTTTCACGTTTTTCTTCACTATCGAGAATCAATGTTGTTGTTTTCAAGCGAAAATCGGTCTCTCTTATTTTCGCTGTTTTCTGTGTTCGCAAAGTTTCAAGGTCGTGACGTGTCTGTAATTTAAAACGAATTTTAAAAAAAATTTTCGTCACTACAAATTAACCTCTCTCAATTCGTCAAATCAAATGATTAATACTGTTAATTCATCGAAACTGTCAATTCTCTCACTTGGCTGTTACCAACAAAATTTCGAAGTTTCCATGCATTTCGGCGCCATTCTGGCCTAATGTCACAAAACAAAAATGAAAAACTTCAAAAAATTTGAGATTACTTTGAATCACGACTTGGAGGACTTTGAAACGTATATCACCAAGCCCCTTCCAATTATCATTTGTAGCTCCTGGTTTAGCATGGAAAAAAAACAGCAACCGATCACTGTGACATTCGACCAGAATGTGAAAAATGCAATCTCTGCAGAATTCGAATTTTTAGCAGCGAGCCTTCCGGATTGGTGATTATTAAGTATTAAGAACGTTATTGGAACGATTGGCCAAACATTCTGGTATTTTAAAATTTCAAAAATTCGAATTATGACGTCATATTTCTGAGAAACGTCAGAAACGGCCATTTTGGCTAAAACAAGAAAGAGAAACAGAACAACATTAGCTGCGCTAACAACAACTACGAAATTGAGATCGGAAAACGACAACGAGTTACAGAGTAACAGAAGAACACTCCGAGTTGCAACTATTGTACTGCTACAATAGTTGCAAGACCGTTGCGAACAACGGTGAAGGGTGAAAGACGGCCTTCCGGATTAAGAGGAAATCAGGATTAACGAGCTTGATCCAGCGGATTCATCAATCCGGAAGGGTAAAGGAACTGAAACTTTTATCCTGTTACATAAACTTTTAGCTTCCTGTCATGTCCTGACTTGAATTTAATTGATATCTGGATTCATTTTGATAAGGATGAGAAGCTAGGAGTTGGGGGAAAGGGTTGATCCATCTTCGATGGAGATGATGATTTTTATCTACTGAACAAAAACAATAGTAATAAAGTAAATAGTAGTAGCCCTGTTTTTAGGAGTGACCTCGTGGTCTGGGGATACTGAGACCCAGCCATGAGCTCACTATTTCTGCATGTAATCTAGTTAATTTGAGTGTTTTGACCGAAGCCGAAAGCAGTAACGTTTTTGTCGACCCGATGTTAGAAAGACCACCGAAAAGTACTGGCTTGGTAGAGACGGTGAAAAGCATGCAAAGCTCTGTTTAGACGTTAGCCAGTCGTCTTAAGACTTAGTTTTGTTTTCCGTCGATATGTATCTTCCGGGCGAATGTTACATAGATGTTTTTATGGCGCTCCTGGGTGTTATTCTTTTTAACATCATGACCGGCAGAACCGTTAACGAGCACTCCGCGCCGAGCGGATGCTCACATTAACGCCCTTATTAGGCCTAAACCGCCGGGGCGGAAGGGTGGTTCGGAGCGCGGAAGCCCTCTGGATTACCGTGAATAGCTTTTTAACTTAGTTAAGACCGAAAATTCACGAACCAGGAAGGGTGGGGGGATCGGCCATTCCCTCGTTCCCTGAGAGGTTCGTGACCAAAAACACTTAAAGATATATATAAAACCAAACAAAAAGTAATATAGTACCCAAGAAAAACGAAAAACATAAAAAATAACCGAAAAACCAAAAACAGTAAAAAAGTAAAAAATCAGTAGAAATCATCCCCCCAGACAAGATGTGATCCGACCCCCCCGTTTGTTGTTGATAGATATATTGTTGTTACAGGCATTTATATCAGTCAAGATCGTTACGATCAGTTTTGTAGCCCGTTTGTGAGGCTTGTACTGTAGGGTTATTTGAGCATTTAAGCACGTTAATGATAAATTGCGCT